AAATACACACCAGTATGTTGTCCATGGCGTGCTCCAGTTTCTTGTCTATCTTCTCCCTTAAGGCGCTCAGTACAGGCTCTATCACTCCCGCAGTGCTCAGTACAATTCTCTTCACTGTCTCCTCAGGCACGTGAAAGTTTAACTTGGAAAACACCTTCCTGTCCACAGAAAAAAAAAAAGAAGAAACACACAGATGTTTCTAATTTACAAAACTAGTTACAATAGGACCTGCAGATTGAATGTGATTTAACTCATGATAATTCATGCTTGGTGATGATTAACACCACAGGGGCCAATATGTTTACAGTGAAGTCCTATAAATTGTTAACTGGCTGTGTGCCATATCAGAGGGAGAGTGGGTGTGTGCTGGACCGGTCTTCACTGTCAGACAGAGGCCAAGGTTGGAGTTCAACCAAAATGTTTATAGCAAAATCCTGTTGAAAAACATAATCTTAAGCAATGTCCGTCATTTCTATTGAGAAATATCAGGTGGGCTTGTAACTTATTGTTGGCTGTGTGTTTGTCTAAAAACTGTTGTGGGAGAATGCAGACATATTAACATAATCAGATTGTGAAAATTTGAATTTTTCCAGCTGAGGGGTAGCATTTCTCTGGCAGTGGCTGTGTGACGTTCACACAATCACTTCACACTCCACTTTAAGTACCCCTCTTTAGCTTTAATAAACAGTATGCAAATGTTTATTAGTTTACAATATAATGGAGCTGTATGCACATTTATGAGTTTATTAATATGCAGTAATTGTCAGCAATTATTATTTCTCCCATAATGACATATGTTATAATATTACAGCTGTGTTTTAGTAATTTGTCATCCATTATCTGTACAGCAGCCTCCACTTACCCAATGCCCACATATGAGGAGTTATAGCTGTTAACAAATACATTAAAAACACTTACATCTGCTCACATGTAGGCTACATCATCATCTGTTATGAAGTATTCATTATATCTTTACATAGTTATTATAAATGATAAACAGGGGGTCATAAGTAAAGCGTAACCCCTATTATATTCACAGCCACCCTCACTGGATCCCTACATACAGTTTGAATAAACAAATGAATAAGAGCAGCTGGTTTCTTGCCTGTTGAGCAGGTTCCAGTTACTGAGCTTCTGCGGTGAGGAGTTTGCAGGAATATAGTTGTGCAGGTCAACAAGCTTTGGGAAGAAATATTTTACAACCTCAGCAGCCATCACTGCAGAGGGTTCAGCAGAGGGGCAGAGTCAGCTCACAATTAAATGCATAAACAAACAGACACAGACAGAGCTGATAAAACAAGTAAAGTAGATGGCTGTAGCTGGATGTAGTGCATGACAAATGTATACGAGGTTTTACTCTTGTTGCCTCTCTAGTTACCACTTCCCTGCGGACAGCTAGCAAAGCCAAAGGTTAAGTCAACTACCTCCGTCGCTGAAGTCTCTTGTGATGTGTCTTTTTGGCCGGGACAGAGGTATCTTATCTATCCATGCGTACAAATCCTGCAGTTCCTCTTCCTTCAGTTCTCGATCCATTCCTCTTAAAGCGACATCTGTTTCGGCACAGTTTGTAAAGGTCCAAACTGTTTTACTGAGCTAGCTTGTTAGCTTCCCAGGACGACTGGTTGTTTACGGCATTGCTAGGCGACCGCTGATTTACCATGGCAACACAGATTCTAGTAGTTCCTTCTTGACAGAAAAAAGGAGAAAAATGACAGAAACTGACTGTGGTGATTCACTTTTATTCTCAGCTCCATTTTACAGACAAAAAAGATATCTCTCAATAAATAGGAACATTCAAATAAATTTTCAGTTCAAAGTTTGCAGGAAAAAATCAAGGCAGAACTCTCAATGTATGGAAAGGCATTGGCATTATGAGTGAGTATCATGAGTGTGATCATGTCTGCTGCATAGAATATGCAATATAAAATCCCTTGAAGAATTACAATCAAAATGTATCAAGCTAACACAAAAGACAAAACAGCTGCATGTAATAACTCAGTCCCACAAAGTCAAGCATAAGTTGGTTAGTACAAAAAAAAAAAAAAGTCCAAGAAAAAGTCATAACCTTTGTGGTACGTCCTTAATCCAAAAAACTGTAAAGTGCCAATGTTGGTGCCACATTTTAATAATCCCTTAATATTATTTCTTAGAAAGTCAGTACCAAAACAATGTGAGGGACAAGTAAAAGTAAAATAGTTCAATTAAATTAAAACAATTGCCTCATAAAGTGTTCACATATCCCAGGATCAAGGCAGAGTGACATTTCCCTTAAAAAAATTTAAAATCATCATGGCAGCATAGCCATTTGTTATTTATAAAGCACAGAAGTTGAGTTTATCAATAATGGCTTCAGGTTTCCATCAACATACTGAAGGCCAAATAAGCAAGACACAGACGGCGGTAATCCTCAGGGAGACCATAAATGACAGAAGAGCTCTGTCACGTCACGTTGCTGATCCTTCAGTGGATCTTGTTTCCGCTTTAAAACAGACGAGCGTCTCCAGAGAGGATCTTCAAGGTTCTACTAGGTGGGACAAAAACATTGTCCTCTGTCGGAGGATCTCAGTGTTTACACCATGCTGAATTATTCCCCCTGTCATCTGGGCCTGCTGGGGGGCTTTAGGGCCGCTCTCCCTGCAAGCTAGAAAACAAACACTGTTAGCGTACATACTTTGGAGGAGCTTCTCTTAACACAACTGCAATTTTATTTCTCCACAAATTAATTTTATATGTAGATCATTATTTCAGTGTGTCTGTCTCTTGGCTGTTCAGTGGTGGCCAGGGAGAAATTTGTGCTTACTAACTCACGAACAGTGAGCCGCTGCTTATTCATTACACTGTTATGTTGGGACAATGCCCGAAACCACAGACTTCTTTATAAACGTGAATGCCTTGAACAACATTAAGAATGTCTGGATGCCAAGGATTTAGGAAAGTCTGGCTGACTCTGACTTGTGTCTGAATACATACCAGCTGAGTGTGTGGCAGTGGAGATGGGACTGCAGAGGGCTTCGGCTTCACTGGAGGCATCGGAGGCTTTGGCTTCATGATCTTAGAGAACAGATGTTCATATTTCAAATAAGTGACAATGGCAACACCACATACATGTATGAATGCAAATATATGAAAACTGTGGGTAAAGCGACTTGTAATGGCACATACCGATTTTGTTGCAAGTGGTGGCAGAGGTCTGGATGGGGGTAGTGGCTTAGCCTGATAAAAAGAAAAAAACAAAAAAACATTAGCACAACAATTAATACATCATTTAACAAAGCAAACAAATAGTGTCAAAAGAAAATAGAAATATTGCCATTTTGTGTATGCAATTTTACCTCAGTATAGATTGGTTTGCTTGAAACATTTGGTGGCTGCATGAATGACCTTACAACCTAAATAAAAACGATTTATTTAGTGGTTGAAAACCAATTGAAGCCTGAACAATAAGGCCAATTCTACATATAAATAATTCTACATTTAAATAAAGACAAAACAGTAGAATTGATTACCTGTTGACTCTTTGATGGCTGAGGTACAGCTGGCACTTTCTTTGGTGGCTGTAAGGGACAAAAAGAGAGATGAGTGAAAGCAAAAACTTGATTTGTTTCTTTAAAACCATAACTATTACTGCAGTTTATAGTTGCCACAAATATCATGTCTAATGTGGATGAAAAGATAAAAAGCTAACACACACAGAGTGAGTGTTAGTGTATAACTACTCTGTGGCGCTGAGGCTGTTGGATCAAAATGGAAGCTCACCTCTGGAGCTGCTCTGCTGGGCTTCGGTGCTCCAGTATGTGGTCTGGCAGTAGCAGAGAACAGAGGTTTACAGGCTTGAGTGGCCGAAGACTCCACAAATGTAGGCTGGCTGATGAGTGTGGTCCCAAGATGAGGGCTGCCTCGAGTACTGCTTGACCGAAACAATGGGTTGGATTGTCCTGAGGTAGACTGGAAGCATCTGTAAACGTATACACACAGAAGCTAAAATTTAATACGGACAAGATCAAAACAGTCTCTCTAGCTTCATCTTCATACAGTAGTGATCTAAAAGAGAGTGAAAGGAAGGAGTAACGTCTTTCTGTACCTTTTTACAGGTTGCCTTTTTCTGATGCAGCACATCAAAGTCCCAATAATCAGGGCCAACAGCAGAAGAAAGCCAGCCGCCAGTGACACAATAAACACCACACTTGCCTCTGTACACACACACACACACACACGAACAAACATATTATTAGAGACAATATTCTTTTATTGCCCTAGGATGAGCATGTAATAGCATATGTCACCTGCTCAGGCAACTGTAACATCATTACTGCATTTGTACAGACTAACAGGGGAATTCCATCAAATCACTGTCTGTTTGTGTTCATCAGAACAGAGCACAACTGTCTGAGAGTCCATTAGAAATCTATTCCAAATGCTGAATCTTGATGAAAAACAGAGCATTGGAGGAACAGACACAAACAGTCATGTGTAAAGCATGGTCATTAAAAGGTCAAGCATACAAAGAGTGACATACATCAGTGACTCTCAGTGCTTACATGTGCATGTGAGGACAGACAAGCATAACATGAACAATACCTCCAGGCAGCTCTGATTGCTGCACATCGCAGAAAGGGGTGGCCCAGCCAGGGTCGCAGTGACACTTACTCTCGTGGTTACAAACCTGTCAGAGATCACACAGTCAGTTATGCTGGCTCATGGCTATACAGTGCTCCAAAGTGTTGTGAGGTTAACATATTTTTTACCCCGTGGTTGTTGCATTTGGCAGAGCAGTCATCTGTTCCGTACACTTTTATGTTTTTGATGTCTTGACACCGTTGATTGTAGCATACCTGAAAGACACAAATGACATCGTGAGGACACTGACACAGACAGTTCACAGATCAGTAGTCCATGGAGGTTTTTTGTTCATGGTCAGTTTTCTTACCATGTTGTGGCCACACTTGGTGCCAGTAGGTACCATGCCCATATCTGCAGGGTAGTTATCTTCAGGGTTCATAGTTGCTTCATTGCATATCTCTCCCTTTCCTACTCTGTAAAAGGATTTCCTGGATGTCACTGGAAACTCCCAGCCTCCGAAGCAGAAAAGTGTCCCACAGGATTGTTCTCTGTAACCAAAAACCACAAACCAATAATCCCAAAAACCAACAACACCACACTGTTAACATGCACCACTATAGTGCTGGTTTGGCTTTTGATTACATACCTGCTCGAACATCTCTGGCTCGACTGTGTTTTTCTGCAGTTTCCATGCGTGTAAAAACAAGCATCTGCAGCTACTTCAGCATCTGAACAGAATCATAACAAACAAAATGCAGACATAAGAGTCTTGATGTATCAGAATAAAAGCGGCTCCAAACTAAACTGTAATTCATCGGCGCTTTACCTGGTCCCCAGAGTCTCTTGCAGTGTTCCTGCCGTGAAGGGCACTGTCCATTGTAGCAGTATCCTTTTCCTCGGTTGCAGGGCAGGCCATTTTGGGTGTACGCATCAGTTGGACAGGAGGCAGAGAAGCCAGTGCAGTACTCTGCCAGGTCACAATCTCCTGACCTTGATCGACAGACACTGCTTGTCGGTTTCAGCTTCAGAGTGGAGAGACACACAGATGGTGATGTACCGACTACTGAAATATGTACACTCACACATAACCAGCCAGACGGCACCGCCAGACAGTGTCTAGCTATATGGTAACACATTTAGTAACAGTGTGACTTCACTCATCTAGAGAGGACATAGTGAGTATGACTTACTTGGCAGTTGTGGCAGCACTCTCCCTCTGCACACTGGGCTCCTGTGTTGAGCTTGCAGGTTGTGGCATTGCAGCAGGGATTCTTGCATTCCTATGAGGCAGACAGAGGGGTCCAGAATATTATGATTCAGCCTCATTTGTGCGCTTTGTTTGTGTGATTGTATGCATGCACGATGTGTGACTGCAGCATGCACAAACCTCTACAGAGCCACAGTCACACTCCTCTCCGGGCTCCAGGAAGGCGTTTCCACACACCGGCCCTCCATAGATGCGATCAGTGGAGGGAGTATCCAGCAGACAGGTAGGGTTCACTTCCTCCAAGAACCTTTTGAGCTGCTGCTGACTGCAGCTGCTGAACTGCTGCGGATACACAAAGCTAGAAGAAGACATAGCAAGAGCAAGAAAAGAGAAGGTAAACATTAGCTTTACTTTGAGCGTAAGAATAGTAGATTAGAGGGAGTTTATGTGCTGGTGAGAAACTGAACTTACCCAACACTCTCAGCCATGATGCAGCCTTTTTTCGATATTGAGGAGCCACAGACACAGTTTTCGGTATCATGGGACAAGCCCAGGTTGTGACCCATCTCATGCGCAATAGTAGACGCCACTCCTATTGGGTTAGTGTTATGGTCCTGTGAGTATAGCAGACAAACATTCAGTAGAGTAAAACCGGAATTAAAATCTCATGATTCTGTGTAATTTCCTTCCATTTTCTGTTTTTTTTTTCCACAGAGATTTTACATTTATCCATTTATTAAACAGAAAAGTATACTTGCCTCATTGACAGCTCCAGAGTTAGAGGTGCACATTGCATTGGTGTTTGCTAAGCCGACAGTGGAGCCATCAAAATCAACACCTCTGGGTAATGAAGAGGTAAAAGTTATTAGAAACCAGCTCTATCAGATTAACATTTTTTTTTTTTTTTTTTAACAGTGGGAAGTCGAAATCTGCTGGATCTTACGTGATGAACTGTGCATTGTCGTGTTTGGTCCTCAGCAGCAGGCTCCGCTGCCGCCACGTGAGGAAACGACTGAGGGTGAGCTCAGGGTTTGTGCTGACCTCTATCTGGTCTCTGTATGACCAGATATCCAGAGCGACCAGCATCACACGAACACCCAGGGGGCGATACAGCTGAAACAAAGCAGCATGTCGTCACAAAGTGAAAAGTGGAAAAACTGAGTTATCAGGTAATTAGGTCATAACAGTATTTTTGAATGTGAGGGAGTTTAACTGGTAATGCTACAAATAACAGATCTCATCCATAATGCTGTTACAGGAAGTCACAGTTGCGTCTATTGCTGCGATTCATGTTGGCCCTGCTCTTTCAGGGTAATCAAAGACGATTTTGTGATATGTGTGAAAATGTTCAATTTAGGTGTGAAGATTCACAGTTAAAGTTTGATTTTCACAGTGAGAAAACTTTTCATTCCTTTTATTGGTCAAATTCCAATCAGTAAAGGACAAATATTATCAGGAGAGATTTCTTGCATTCAATCCACAGTGAAAGTGAAGCCTGATAAAGTGCTAGACAGCTGACTGTACTGCATTGTGAGAAAGTCTGATCTGCAGCCAATGAAAATAAGCGAAATTACTAAATCACTGGTAAAATAGGTGGAATGCTTCATTAATTCCACAGGAGAAAATTACATGAAATTACATAATTAAGCTTTTACGATAATTTAAAGTTTAGACTGCTCTTATTTTCTCCCAAGGTTAGAGGATTTTTCGCTGTGTAAAAATATAACAGCGGTAAATTATTTAGATAGACTTATTAACCGATAGACTAACAGAGAAACAAACATACCTTGTCCACATGATTTGCTATTTCAAGCAGTCTGGTCTCTATTGTCTTCTTGCCATCAAACTTCTTGTACTAAAAAAAACATTTTTTAAATTAGCAATAAAATCAACAGTGTCTCAGATATAAAACAAAATGATTCCAAAAGTTTATTATAGAAAAGGAAATATAAGAAATCAAACCTCAGAGTGGTCGACCACCAGAACCAGCTCCACTGTCCTGTGTTTTACTGAACGGTCTTTGGTCTGGGCTCTGCTTTTCTGAATATCACAAAAGGTGTAGGATATTAACAATATTAATTGTGTGTGTATATGTGTGTGCATACATATGTGTCTGTTAGACCCAAGTATTGTTTTGAGGATGTTTAATACAGCTCAACAATTGACTATGAGTTTTGGTGTTTGACAGTCTACAGTAGTGCTGAAACAAAATGAATATTACAATGGTCCTGCATCTATTAAAATATGCAAATTGAGATTTGCATGTTAAAGCTAATTGTCACTTGTCCAGTTACAATTTCTAAATATATTATAAATGATCTATCGTCTCTCTTCCTCATTTTCTTGGTGTCTACTTTCTACTGTGCACCCGTTTTCATTCCCTTTGTTTTACCTGAATATGTTTTATTGAAATTAATGCCAGTGTTAAGTTCAACAACAACTTTTGAATTTTCAAATGATTTTCATGATTTTCATGATCATCATGTTGCTAGATTTTAAAAACATCAAGGGGAAAGTGTTTGATTTTTTTGAACCGTGTGTCATGATAAGTTACGGCGCTTTTGTGAACAGTAGTATTTTACTGCATCTTACTTCTTGTTTTTTTCCATAAAATCTATCAAATGTAAGAATGCAGCACAAAATATTAGATGTCAGCTGTCTCAGCCCAGAAATATCAGCTGTAGGTTTCAAACCCTGGTGTATATGTGTATGTGTCCACTCTGTGTGTCTTTACCAGACTGCTGAGCTGGAACAGTCCAGACGGACGAGCACCATGATCATAGAAAGTGGTTGTGTTTCCATGGGAACAGGAGCTCCTCTTCCTCCTCAGGTGTTTGTAGTTGTAAACAGCATGAAGACCCTCCTCACTGTGAGCTTCCGAGCTCTGTCTGTCATCCTGCGCTCCCCCATCGGCACCGGCCAGAGGTTCAATAAGGTAGATCTGGCCCTGGAGAAGCACAAACCCCCTGCAGTGCAAAAGAGGAACTTCAGAGTGGATAGAGGCAAACACCTCATCTTTTTCTTCAGCAGATCTAACTCACAAACGGATCACAGTTGAACTAATCATAAGACAGCCTTTGTTCGTCATATTTTCAATTCCCACACCCTTTGAAGCTAACAGGTCTTTTCTTGCAAACAGAAGGGAGCTTAAAGAAGCCTGCATGACTCAGTTACAGGTTTTCAGCACTGCATGCAGTCTTAATGGTCAGTGTGATGGACGAAAGGGATGCTGAAGGACTGATCCTCTCTTTGGACTGGACACTCTGGTCATGAGTCACAGCAGGAGACTTACAGTCCCAAAGCATCATGGGTTTAATTCAATTTGGCACTGTATTTAGGGAAACAATATTCTTTTTTGTAATTAGAGTTACAGGATGAAATAAATTTGCATCCAGCATTACTCACTTTATTCCAGAGCACAGTCCCACGCTGGCAGATGAGTCCTCCACTCCCACAATGTGTCCATGGTAGTAGCAGTGAACCTGAACAGACGTCCATCATTTGTCAGAGAATCAAAGGAGATTTTTCACACTCACTCTTTGCTTTTCCTTAATCGGCCAAGTATCTCAAGCACGGTGTAGAACTGTGATCTGATCTGAAGAATATGTATTTAACTATGTGTGTGTCTTGGTCAGAGAGAATGACAGTCATGACCTTATATGTCAATTCCTCTTCAATGTAAGACTAAAGAATTTCAGTGTGTCGTGTCAACTTTCATAATGAGGAACTTTGTAGTTGAGAAACTCCAAAAAGCTGAGAGTCATCAGGACATCTGAAATTTTGAAATAAGAAGATGGACTGGCATGTATTGCAAAACATGATTTTTCTCATAAAGATGATGATGATGATGATGATGATGACTGGTCTCTGTAGGAATTAAGTGTGAAATATTAATTGAATTGTGTGTTTGGTATTTGTGCTGTAGAGCCTTAAAAAAATTTACTGGTATGGTTACAGCACTTGCTGTATTTTAGAAATACTCTAACCCTAATATCAAGATCAAACTTCTCAACAGAAGATCTGCAGTTAAGAAGTGTACCTAGCACAGGAAGGCAGATGCAACAACACCAATAAATTGGGCTTTTCAGTTGAAACAGGATATCCTGTATTCATTTTATTGAAGCCTATATGCTCTATTAAGTAAGATAATTCTTTGGTAGTCTACACTTTGGTACACTAGTCTGATATCAGACTTCTGAATCACCTATGTCACTGAATTATGCAGTGATTCAAATTGAATGTATGAAGTGAAACTAAGTGGCAATTCAGTCTGATTATCAGACTAAATATACTTTATATATACACACACTCAAAAAAAGCTTTCAATCAAATTTCAGTAATACAGGCATCTGTTTCTGATAGACTCAACTAATACAAAGATATAGACCATTATAATGCAGGCTGATCATGAATACAGGGATTATGTTAATGTTAGTGAAATTGTAGTGTAAGAATGCAAAGATACATACCCCAAGATCTGGAGTAGTTGTAATTTGGGTGCCCTGATCAGAATAGTGTGTCACAGAAAAGTTTTTCCCGATAAGATCTCTGAAATTAACAGATTTTTTAAATATCAATCATATTGTCAGATAAAGAAAGAAGCACAGTATGTATAGACCTGCACAGTAAAAAAAAACTTACTTATTTCTTTCCAGGTGCAGAGTGTAGTTTTGCCCTGCAATCGTCAAAGAGTACTGGAGTACATCAGGGTATGTCTACACACACACACACACACACACACACACACACACACACACACACACACACAGCAGAAGACTTTAATGCTTTTTGATTTTAATAGTTTTTAAATAAACTTGTAAAAGTGTACAGTAACATGCGTGTTACCTGATTTGTGGCTGCATCATTCGTGAGAGATGAATCCTTCAGCTTCTGAGGTATCACTGTTTGGTACTTCATCACATGAGGTAGAGTCTTTACACTGCCCGCGAGGATTCCTGCAAGTAGAGACATCTCATGAGACAAGAAACAAAAGGAAAAATGAGAGATAGAGATAGAGATAGAGAGAGAGAGAGAGAGAGAGAGAGAGAGAGAGAGAGAGAGAGAGAGAGAGAGAGAAATAAATAAATAAATAAAGAAAGATAGAAAGAAAGAAAGAAAGAGTCGTACCCCACGAGGAGAATAAAATCATTAAAAAATATCCAGTATATCGCATGTTGCTCTATCGGACGGACTCTGTCATTGTATGCTTCGCAGTCTGTGGTAAGTAGCGACTCTTCCCAGCTCTCCGCCCCTCTGCCGTGTAATATCCTGAAGAATCTGAGGCTGACAAAAAAATGAGTCACTGTAAGAAGTTAAACGTTGCTCCTACAAAATGAACATTCGTCATTACCCGGAGATGAAAAACGCTGTGATAATGCCTCCAATGTGTAATGTGTAATGTGTAACAGCTTATGTTGCACTTTATTGAAAAATAGTCGCACACGTTGCTATTAGTTTAAACCTATTAGAGACACAACTGGAACTTTTTTCTTTCCACACAAGGGTTTTCACTGATTACCAATAGGTTCTAATATATTTACCCATTCGCCAATAATAAGCCACCTGGACAATTCCATAACAAATGTAAACTCGGTTTACCACACATATTTTATTGGGAAGATTAATAGCGATAAACTACGGGAAACCCCCTCATTCATTAACAAAATATCCTGTACACATGGTCAAAGAGCTCTCCACTTCAGCTGACAGCTGACACAGCGAAGCCTCTTAGTGGCCTTTGTTGCCATCTACTGTTCAAATGATGCTTAAGTTTTCAAATATTTTAATTTTAAACAGCATATGTTTGCTGCAGTTCTTGTGATTGGAAAAGTAAGCAAAATCACAGCAATGAGCTAAGTAAACCTTACATATCAGTGTATGTTCAATAGTAATATCAACCAAAATTCATCAAATTAGCACAAACCAGTGTCAGTTGCTGAGTATCTGGGGTCCGGCTCTCAGACATTTGGAAATCAAGATAAACGGAGCAAACTAAAGAAAATATGGCTAATTAAGTTCGTTATAATATGTGAAGGAATAGTAGATATTTGAAAACATGCTAACCCCTAGCTACACAGCAGACATCAGATACTCACATCATAACTTTTTTGTGGCTATCTGGACATAGCTTTCCCATGTTGCGTCTGTCTGACCGGTTGGTGGCGGCAACGCACCATTTTTGTTTTTAGTCGCGTTCATGTCTCATCGTTAGCGTGGGAAAACCCGGAGACAACAAGCCTTAGGCGATAATTGGAATTTGTGACAGACCACTTGAAAAAAAAAAAGAACCTATTCATGCCAAGAAACTGTTGGTAGAATGGCTGCAATTGCACCACCGCTGGTCGTAATATCAAAATAAAACCCAGTATTAACACTAATACATTTAATAGGAGCTATACACGGTTTGAAACAAGTACTTAACACAACAAAATACCTGGTGTGACAACACAGGCTTATCCTGGAAAAGTCTAATGCGCGAACACTGCCAAGACGGAATAACAGGTGTTTTTACTATTCTTCCCATTCTGCTGACATTACGTGAATGCAGCATTTGACTACCGCCAAAAAAGAGAAGACGTCGTCATTCCGCGACAACTACAACCAAAACATAAAACTCCTCTGAGGCAGTTGCGCTTCTTTCGGTGTAGAGAGTATGAAAGCGTCTGGGAACTGTCCGACGACAGGAAACATGGAGGAGCAGGAGATAAGGCAGAGTGAGCTCCCGTTCAGCTTCACCCCGCAGCTCGTCCACCTGCACAAGGACCACGAGCTGTTTGAGGTAACGTTGTGACGACGAACTGAATCCACTGACCGTTACCGGCGGCTAACCGGCTAATCCACCCACAGTAACGTCAGTAACATACTGCATGTGGACGCTGTTTACAGGATGGAGACATCCACAGACACATGTACCTGCAAGATCTCTACTCCTCGGGAGCAGACGACAAACCAACGCCCAGGTATGAAAAACAAGTCTTATCCCTGATGGAGCCAGGTTTTGGCTTTAGTAATTTACTTGTATGTGGGTTACATTGAGTTAACAAGCAGCAAACAAACTCTACACTGTAAGGATTAGTCCATAGACCATTTTGATAATCGATTAGCAGATTACTGTTTGTTGACCTATTGATATATTTATGTTTTCTGTATTAAATTCTTCTATGCATATGATTGTGGGATATAGTGGAAAATGGTTAGTCTAAAAAGGCTATTAGATAGACTTTTAGTTTGTTCAATGTCAAGCCCCACTGTAAGTGTGCTAGATATATGTGGTTATGGCATCCCAGCATCTATAGTTTACAAGTCATCTCCATATAGGAAATACAGGAAAAATAAACTACCAAACAACAAATTGGCCCAATAAATGATAATTCCTTTGCAACTGTTGCTTTTCCCCTTTTTAACTGTAGCCCATTGTAATGTCAGTGTTGGTTGAGCTGTCACTCACTTTCCTCCATCTCTTGTGTCTTCTCAGTGTGTCAGAGTTTGCCTGTCACATCTCTGGCTGCAGTGCAGTCTTCAGTACACTGGAGGAGTATGAACACCACTACAACTCTCTGCACAGACATGTTTGCTGCTCCTGCCGTCGCTCTCTGCCAAGTGCCCGGCTCCTAGACATTCACATTCAGGAGTGGCACGACTCTCTCTTCACTATCCTTGCCCAGAGGCAAGACATGGTAAGCCAAAGGAAAGAAAAGAAATGATACCCTCAAGCTATGAGGGAGACTTGTATATAAAGTCAAATATTTTGAACATTCTTTAAAGACGAACAGCTTCAATGATAAGTTTTCTCTGACACTTCACATTGTTCAGTACCAGTGTTTGGTGGAGGGGTGTGGACAGAAGTTCAGGACTAGTAAACACAGGAAGGACCATCTAATAAGAATTCACAAGTATCCACCAGACTTCAGATTTGACAAAACCAAAAAGGACAGAGGGTAAGTCTGCACCTTCCATACTTTGTCCACTAGATGGCAGCAAAGCATCAGCAGAACCATTACTCTGAAAGTTTCAGTCAAGGAGAGCCCATGTTTGTTATAATAAACAGCATTCATGCCTCTGGATTTGATCTTTTTGGCATATTTCACACATATTTCTGACATAGAGTGAGATTCTCTTTGCTGCCGTTATGAAACCAATGCGTAACTCCACACTGCACACTGAGACTTGTTTGAAATGCATATTTTTTGTATATTTTCTGGTCCAACAAAGCAAAATAAGAGGCTTAAAAGAGTTGTTAAATCATTGTTTTTTCCTTAAATACTTTTATATGTGTATATTTAGTATCATCTTATTTTTGTTAATAGAACCAGAGAGACAAAGAGGCCGCAGCAGAAAGACACAGCCATGGAGGTAGTAGATGATGTGTGTGAGTCTGAGGGTGTGTGTGAGGTTATGTGTGATGTGTTGTCCGACCAAACTGAGCAAGGGGAGTCCATGGAGACACACGTGTCCGAGAAAGAGGCTGCTCATATGGCAGAGCCCGCTACTGCCGGGGAGCACGCAGGTCTTTCTGCTGCAGTTCACGGCAACGAGTGTGCAAGCACCAAGACTCTAAAACCTCGATACTCCTACAGGTCAGTCCTAAAATTTGTTCTGCCAGAATGTCTTGTGATAAAAGAGACTAAGTCAGCCATTTTTTTAAAGATGTTTTTAGGTTAACTTTGTGAATTTAAAGCGAGTTTGTAACCATTAGATATCAGTGTTCTTAAGGTAAAAACTTGAGCAATTATGTCTGTCTTAAGCAAACTGTAGGAAGGGTTATTTCTATCATGTGTTGTTGTAGGTTAATATTGTATTATTAAAATATATGCAAGTTGATATCTTCATGATTTTTACTACAGCTTTTCTTTTCATAAACAATCTGAGATACAAAACAACACGCGTGTTCTTTTATTTCAGGGTCCCTACCACTGTGTGCTTCGGCCAAGGCTCAGTCCGAGGCTTCAGAGGACGGCGGGGAAGGAGGAAATGAAACAACAGAATTGCGCCTTGTGTTTGATGTTCTTTTTTAAAATGTATGACTCAATACCCTTGTCTTGTAATATATTTACTGTCACATATGTCATTAACTTAAAATAAAATGGCTTTTGCAGAAAAAAAACATGATGTGCGTAAGCATTTTTTTTAGGTGATCAAGAATACCTTTTGTTGCTACAAGGCTCCCATCTTGACTCTCTTGTGGTGACATCCAGCAGCTGTGTTCTACTAGCGGAAAGGTTGACTAAAATCAAAATGCATGTGTTGTTTAAAAGAATGATGCAGCGCAGCTCAAGGCTGTGCTTAAATTACAATTCACAAGGATGTTTGTAGAAAGATTTTTGTGGAGAGAAAAATGAGAGGAATGACAGAATTTACATAAGAGATTTTAATAATTGTACAAAACACCTTTTCACCCATCAAATATAAAATACACTGTACATTAATGACTGATGTGAGTCTATCAGTCTTGTTTAGGATTTTGGAGTGTTTGCAAAAAATAGTTGACTTTTATTTACATTTTGTAATGAAACTGGTCTTGGACTTTAAGGAGCTCTTTCAACACCTGTGCAAAAGTTCTTTTGAGGTAATGTAAAAAAATAATGACTGATAAAGTAGATTTATTTTAGACTTAATTTGTATTTTTATGGCTATAGTATATATAATATGAATATATGTTTGCGCTAATTGAAGTGTTTTTTTTTTTGTTGAATGACTGATGTGTGAGATTGCCTCTTTATAACTGCTGATCATAATTTGAGGTACAATCTACTTGTTTGGTAACTTTTTCCTCCCACCTTCAGCTTAAAAAAAAAAAAAAAAACATTTTTTAAAACTGTTCATTTAAGGTGAGAAATTTTGAAAGGCCTCTGAAATGGAAATAAGACATTCACATGGTCACTTTAGTGAGTCATCAGAAGCTATTGCTTTAAACCCAAAGCTACAGGCCTTTAAATAAACATCTTCTCTTGCCACATTAGAATTACTTTACGGCAGAATGCCTATACTGGAAGACAGAAGCTCCCAATTCATGTGAAATTTGAAAAATTTAATCCGCAGAATGAGCTCAGTGATAGTGTGTCTTTTCGAAAAGGGACTTTACTAATTACACTGCAAAAATGACCACGTTTACAAATAATTTACGGTAAAGTAAATCTGAAATACGTCATAGAAAATGAAATGAAAAATGACAATTGAGTGAAAATATTTCACTTGTCTCTGTTCCACATGTTCATTGAAAATCTATTATTTTAAAATTAAACCAGTTTATTCTGCTAACTTTTCTGTATGCAAAATATTCTTCTCACGCAATTTTATTTTTCACTATAACGAGAAATATTTTACATAAGATTTAATATGAGATTTCAGACAGATGGACATTTTTGCAGTGTTTCTTATTTGCTGCATGAAGGCATTTTTAAAGGCAGCTTTCCCCACGATGCAGTTCAAAGTTAGTGAGGGTTAAGACAAATAGTACATCCCATACGGTCCACTGAATAGTCCTGGGACAGGTAAGGCAGGCCGCGGTCCGTTCAGGGCCGCGTAGAGGGACGGTGCGCCCATAGGTGCGCTCAGGGGGAAGGGAAACGCGAAGGCCGGCAGCAACGGCTTCGCGGCCAGCTTGAGCTTCTCTAGCTCGGCCTCCTGCAGTCTCTTGGCCTTGGCCCTGCGGTTCTGAAACCAGATCTTGACCTGGGTCTCTGTGAGGCTGAGGGAGCTGGAGAACTCCGCTCTCTCCGCGATGGAGAGGTACTGTTTCTGACGGAACTTCCTCTCCAGAGAAAGCAGCTGGGAGGTTGTAAAGGGAGTTCTGGGTTTCCTGTTGTTCTTGTGTTTCCGTAGATTGCAAGGGGTCGGGCTGGGAAGTCCTGGAAATACATTTAGAAAGTCACATCACAACACTGGAATACAAAATATGTCATCCATATTATTTAACTATGTTGTATCTGACCAAAGCCAAACCAGGGTAATATCAAACACGGAAGACGGTATTTAGGTCAGTTTTAAAATCCCTCTCCATCATCTCTAGATTTATTGAGATACGAGATTATTGAGGGACGATAGCTTTAAATCGAATTTCCTCGTTATTGATTTCTAATAAAGAACCTAAGGTTAGAAATATTTCGTTCATAAATTTACTGAACTTCGTTGAAGTGTTTCTGGTGATTTTCAGAACAGTTTTAAACTGTCAGAAAGTTGGAAAGCGTATGATTCTCATTATTAAGAAAGAAAGAGAGTAGTTATCCTACACTCACTTGGAGGGGATGCGTAAGGAGCCTGAAACCAGGGGTTCGTTTCCTTGTCACTGGAGTCCACCACCTCTGGTTTGGACCGATAAAGTCCACTCGGTGACGCACACTCGGTCTCCTCTGCCTGGACGCAGTCTGAACCGGGCTCGGGGGAGTGGACGCTTCTGCCAGGCGGCCGGTCTGATATGAGGGATTCCACACTGAAAGGCAGATCTAAACTCTTGGTCTTACATCTTCTGACAGGGGATAGATCCAGCTTGTCAGTTCCCATGCCACCGGCGGCTCGGTCCTCTGGTGAGGTGTCCCCCGGAGCAGTCGAGGGCGGTGATCCCTGCGCAGGATTCATTACGCACGACTGAGGTGCCATACAACCAATTTTCCCACCGCTCTCCTCGTTGCTGTTTTATGTTTCCGTGTTTTCGCCTTGAGGAAATCTGTGATGCCGCCGAGGCTCATCCGATGTTGCACAGCGTGGTAAACTTCAGATTTGACGCACGAACTTGCCTCTCCCTCAGTGATGTGCCGTAAGTTCGTCTTTCATCTTGCCACCCGCCTATCAGTCTGTCGAGGTTTCCACGTGACTCAACCAAAACACTTTCTGATAGGTCAGGCTTGTTATGACGGCGTAGCAGTCAATTTCATACCCACAATATAGTGCATATAATTTGTGCACACTAAAACATTACAATAAGGCATGTGTATAGCCTATGTTATACATATATATATATATATATATAATGTGGACCATAAACTCTTTATTCTCAAAACTCTTTATTTGAATACCTTACCAAGGTTAAAGCTCCACTCATCATTTTTTTTTTTTTACTGGGGATCATATGACTAATTGTAACATGATAGATGTTTCTTTTTGGGAAGAACTGTCTGTACTATGCTGTAGTTTCTTTCAGTGCTATGGAGCATTTTGGCGCCTTTCAGCACAGTGTTTTGGTTTTAACGACCCACAGCGTTTTGACTCACTGCCCTCATCAGCCTTCTGCTCTTGAGCAACAGGCGGCTGCTCTAAAGCTTTAAAAAACCTGCTGTACACTATCTGCACTGAGATCAACAACAGAGCTAAAAGGAGACAAAATGTTGGACTTATTACAGATTTAACAAAAACTGACCCAAAGAGATGCCAGAGAATTCAAATTCACTTTACAAAAGTTTACTGGTATAAAATATTTTTGTTAAGTTGCAAAAATGATAGTGCTGTTACTTGTTGTAGGGCCCGCCGAGGCAGTTATGCTTGGGAAATGCTGACAGTATTTAATCACTTTGTTTCATTAAAGCAGTAAGACAATCCTGGATTACAGTACTTTTTATACCCTCAAGAGTTATTATCACTGTAAATTTCTGTCTTGTGGCCTGTAATCACATTATCTATGGCTGTACATTGGCTATATTTCAACCTATTGTGTTCATTGTAATCCCTTTGAAAGACAGTGAAACCCCAACTAATGTTGCAGAACCCTATTGAAGAGGCCCGTCCAAATTGGCCTTGTTTTATCAAGTCTAATCTTTTTCAGTGAAACCCGATATGTGAGAGTTTTCTTCTCTTATTGGAACTGTTGCTGGGCTTGCTGCAGCACACTGTCTGTCTCTCTCTAGGACAATTGGTTAAATGAAGTTAACTGTTTTCTCTCCCCGAGGTACATTTCTGCTTTGATCCTGTTGCGCCTGGCGCCTGTCTGCTCTCTCTCCCCCTCTCCCTCTGTGTGTGACAGTGATGGATTGCTGGGTAACCATACAAGTTTTCAATGACTGTAATTTAGTGCCCCGCAACATTACATTCTCCTCTACTTACTGTGAATATTACCACTCTCACTCTCCTCCTGTTTGAAGAAGGATGTAAGGCTGTCTGTAATGTTTTGTTTCTCTTCCACTGTTTTATAATGAATGAGTAAATGATATTTCCTGCCTCTCTCTGAGTAGCACGGACATGCCAGAAAAGTCAACAATGAGTACAGTATTTTGGTTTGAGAGATGAAAATCTATCTACAGCGCAGTAGCTGCACTACAGTTTTAGTATCTCTCTCATTTTTATCTGTGCATTACTTTTCAATACATCTGCATATAGTGAAAATCAGATCAGTTTTGGTTCTTTGGTTATTTTGAGAAATAGTTTTTGTACAGCGACCAACAAGCATTATGGGGTATGGTCGCCTCCAGCTACATTCATTTAATTCAGAAACAAAAAGATGTTTTGAATTTATGGATTTTCCTACGTCCTACTAGAGAAAAACATAACTTTTTTTTTTTTTTTCAAAAAGGGACAGGGACCCAACTCATACCATTAGATGCCAATGTTTGCTGATTAGCTCTAGAAACAAAGCTTAGGCTGATGGGAATGTCATTAGTTTTGCAAGTATAGGTAATAAACCAAAGTTTTGGAAAACTAAAAATTTTGACCTGATGATGGCACAATATGAAAAGTTAAGGGATCACCAAAGTTATTAGGATTCATTTATTGCAGATAATAAATATTTTCTTCTGCCAATCCATCCAGTTGATGTTAAGATACTTCACTGGACCTGTTGGTGGTGCTAGGTGAAAAGTCACCAAACTATTAGGATTCAATGTTTGGGCATCATGGATATTTGTACCAAATTTCAGTACTATCCATCCAATACTAGACAAGGCATTTCACTAAAACCCAAGATGTCAACCTTTTGATGGTGCTAGAGGAAAAGTCTGTAGGTGATTTGAGTTTTTGGGATTCATCCTCTGCGGACTATGAAAGCCTGTACAGAATTTTAATGGTGATCATTGCAAACTGTAGAGCCATGGCACCAGTGAGCAGCAACATTTATCATTTTCAAATGTGAAAAAATGATAAAGAAAGAACACAAGCTGCAATTGGTAAAGACGTTCTTGGAAAGTATTCATACTATACTCTTCAGTTTGTTATTTTAGTTTCCCTCACAGCTTCAACTGAGAAGCTTCAGCTGCCATCAACCAGTCAACTACAGTCAGTCATTTACTGTGAACAGCTATCAAGCCAAACTACCACCACTCTATCTATCTGTCTGACTTTCAGCCTGTCTTTTACACGCACGCACGCACACACACACACACACACATTTATATACACCTTTCTGATCCTTGCTGGCTTGCCAAAGTGGAGAATTGTTTATGGAGGTAATTGTGGTTTCTAAAAGAGTTTTCACTTCGAACAAACATGTTGAAGCAAGCTTTATATATTTCATTTTTTAAATCATTCTCTTTCATGAGAGTTGGCAGGGCTTCCAGCTCTCCTAAGCAAACTTTGTGGAGGGGGCTGGAGTCATGTGGGATAAACATTTATGAAACACACAGCGGGGAACTTTGTGGTGAAAGTGTATCGTCTTTAAAAGAGACGGGAGGCCTGCCTGGTGAAGCATAACAGAGTATTATCCTGTGTCTGAGTGGACCTGCCAACTTCGGTACAGTATGTCAAAAAATCTTGATGGATGTGAGATCACAAACTTTCCTTTCCAGGCTGACATTTACAATAAATCACACTCAATATGAATTCTCTTTATCTTTACAGAGAGAATGCAGTTTTGATTGAACTTCACACAAGTATTAGCATATTTATGATCTGGTCAATTTCATGCAGCCAGCAGTGAGCTTTGCTGGTGTGATTAAATTGGTCCCTCGTCCCTTGGAAATGTCTCTAAATGTAAATATCATGTGTCCAGTCTCAACTCAAGTCTCAATCGTAAATATTCCAGAGTCCACTGCCACTTTAATGACTGAAATAAAACATATTCTGACACTTTAATGACATATTATGTTTTGAAAAGAATCTATGATACTCTGTCTCATCCTCATTTTATGCTCAATCCAAGTCAAATCTCAGTACAACTTGGATTTCAGTCTGAATTGAGTTCAGGTCATGTGAATTGTTTCCACAACTCTAAATTTACAGCCTCATCTAGTTTGTGCATCATTACACCATCACTGAGGAACATTAACTCTGGGACTTTTTCTGTGACTAGTTAATTTCCTGCCATCACATGATGATTGTGTCTCGTGGAAGAATCAAGGAGACACAGTGAGGACATTAATGTGAGCAAAGCTAAAGCTACTTCTACCATAACAGCTTCCATGAGATGAAGTGGGATCATTGATTTTCAGGACTATTTCTTTTGTTAAATCTACTTATTAAACACCGGTTACATGGCACCATGCTGCTTACAACGCTCATATAGGCTCACTTGCCTAAGGCTCAGTTTCACTCAGGCCCCATCATGCCAATCATGCCGAAGCGGATGTGGAAGGCCTGGGGTCTTCCCAGTAATGTTTCTCCTTAACTGATCTGAGCTTGAAGGGAAGTGCCACAACATGTTAGCTTTGATTAATTGTTTCATCTTTCCCACCGTCAGCACATTGTGTCATGTGAGCTGCTACTCTCTCTGCGCTCACTGAAGGTCAGGTCTAACCTGTCAACCTAAACTGTGGCGTCACTGATACGACCGTCCGACCGACCGTTAGAACATACTTGAATTTTCATCTGAGAACATCTCTCCGGGTGTCACGGAGTAAAACATTACTGGAGGTTTTACAAAGAGTAACTACAGGCCATTTAGGGCATCAGTATGCCTCAGCCGAAGTTCTTGTCGGATGGTGTAAACTTGCTTGCACCAGCCCTTTTCTGATGTCGTAAAGGAGGGGGCTGTGTCTGACAAATCACACAAACTTAGCATATAGTGTTTGGGGCCGGGTGCGTGAAAGAAAGCAGGGTTGGAACTTCTCTTTTTTTTTAAATTGTTCACATCACTACTTTGTATGGGTACAAGCAAGTGCAATAATACGAATGCTGTCTAGGAAAGATCATCCAAAAGAATGCTCTGTTATTCCTATTTGAATAATTATTGTGATTATTTCAACAAAGATACAAAAATGGCCAAAAAGTCATCTTTAAAATAAAATTGTGACCATATCCAAGGCATAAATGTTGTGAAGTCTGATCCCACAATTCAGGCAAATGAAACTCAAAATACAGATGTGCTATGGTCTTTAACTTGAAAATAAATCTTTATACCAGCACAAGCTGCGCTTGTCTGTTTTAAGCATTTGTTGTGAGTCAGTAATTCCTTCTTGAGGAGGACATACTGGACTCAAAGGGCAGATGATGCTTCAAACCTTTGTAATTACCTGATGGGTTGTTGATTGGTTAAGTGCTTTTCATTTATCCTCTATATGTTAGCATGATTCGGCTGCCAGGGGAAAGTGTTGACAGGCAAGCGGCGAGCGGGTTATTATGCCTCTGTGTGTTTTGTATGTAGGGTATTGGGTTTGGTGACAGGAAGGCGCGTTCCACATGGCGTCTGACAGAGACGAGCAGAGTGTTTGGCTGTCGGGGACTCAGCAGTGAGTCTTACCCGCAGTGCCAGGTGCTAACAGGTGAACACAGAGATATTGTAGCTCTATTGTTGCGGTTTGGGAGGAACGGAGGGGGACAAAGGGAACCGGACACCCTCTCTGGACCTGGAGCGAGCCATGGGGTTAGGGTGAGCTCAG